TTATTGGCGTGCACCACTGTGACCAGAAATATGTATACTTTAATAGATTTATTTAAAAATAGCCCAGATAAAAGCATTGTAATATGCTAAGATTTAACAGATAGTTTAGTGTTTTTTTTCAATTTTTTGTTTTATATTATAAACTGAGATTCAGAGCCACAGATAAACCAAAAATCCATATAATACAGCTAAGATTTAAGAGGAAATTGAAGAATCTGTATTCACAACAACAGAAAAAGTTCAGTATTCATTATTATAAACAGTATTTATCTCTTTTCACTGGTTTCATGATTTCTTCATATTAGATATGACTGATTGTTTAGTAATAATAGCTACCATTTATAGAGTACATATATGTTAAGTATTATGTAATCATTTCAGAGATTTATCCTCTTTCAGCCCCAACCCTTTACAAAGTACGCTATTTTTAATACTTGCACCAGATCACACATCTAATAAATGTCGTCAGCCTGAATTTGAAACTAGCTTCCAAGCCCTTACTTCCATTGACCCATTTGTTTCTTCCCTGTGACATATTCAGGTCGCTAAGGCATGCGGTCCTCTGGTGATCTGATCCCAGGCCACATTTCTTGCTTTGCTTACTATAATCCTTCAGAAGACTTCCTGGGAGGTCCAAGGAATTAAATAGTAGCTCCATCCTACTACAGCTGTGATTTTTTAAAAATTTATTTTCCACATTTTTTCATTGGTGCATTATAGTTGTGCATACTGATAGGATTTGTTTTTACATATTCATGCATCTTCACAATATTACAATATAATTTGGTCAATATCATTCCCCAGCACTCCCACGCAGCTGTGATTTTTTTTTTTAATGAAGGATCCTCATCAGATCACCTCTGGGGCTTTTTAAAACTATAAAGAATCAAATAATGTGATTCTATCCCCTAAAGATTCTGATTCATGTTATCTGAGTAGGGTGTGATCTTCTGTATTTTAAAGAGACAAACAAAATTATTCTCATGAATAATAGTTGACTAAAAATTTCTAGGATACGTCCTTTTTTTTTTTTTTTGTCCTGGGGATTGAAAGCAGTGGCATTTTATCACTGAGCTACATCCCCAGCCCCCATTTTTTTGTTTTGTTTTGTTTTTTGTGGTACCAGGGTTTGAAATGGGGGGCATTCGACCACTGAGCCACATTGCTGGCCCTATTTTGTATTTTATTCAGAGACAGGGTCTCACTGAGTTGCTTAGCACCTCACTTTTGCTGATTCTGGCTTTGAACTTGCAGTCCTCCTGCCTCAGCCTCCCAAGCTGCTGGGATTACAAGTATGGGCCACTGCGCCCAGCTCAATTTTAATTTTGAGACATGGTCTTGTTAAGTTTCTGGGGCTGTCCTTAAACTGAGACACTCCTATTTCAGCCTTCCAAATTGCTAGGATCATGTATGCCACCACATCTGGCTTCTAGGCCACTTCTTGAAATGTAAGGCAGTTCCAATATCCTCTAAGAGCTTTGAGAAGCTTTGGAAAAAGGTAATGGTGTGTATGGACCATTCTAGGCTCTTAGAATATTTTAGAATCCAAACTGGTTTCTCCCCTGCTTAAAATTCTTTTCTACCTTTCCATGTTTTTAAGATTGAATCTAAATATATTAACGTGAAATTTTACATTAGCTCTTGATATTTCTCCTTTATACCTGTGGACCTTGGAGATCTCAATAGCCATTGTTTGTGTGGTGGGTTTTCAGTACCTGTCATCAAATAGAAATCAGTTATTTGACAGATCGCTCCATCAGCAAATGATGTCTACTCTCCTCCAAAAGATACCTGCCTTTGCAACCATTCACCTACCTGTGGTCTCATTTTTACTGTTGCCCTCATAAAATAAGATTTTCACCCAGCAACCAAGTAGGTCAGAGAACTCTCTTTTTTCTTTTATGGTACTAGCAGTAATGTCAGAGACAATAACATGCTGTCAGGCAGCATCAGCCATCTCAAAGTCTGTGGGCTGCCTCATCAAGTCTCTTCGGTTGCCACACTACAGATGAAGATGGGGAAATAGGATAAAGAGGAAACGCTACCGCTTTCAAGTCAGAGAATCCGCAGTAAAGGGTTAGGCCAAAGCATGCCCCAAGGAGACAGGCGAGGGCCAAGAACTTTACACAATTGCGGTAGTTTTCAAATATATCAAGATCTGTACAAGTTTTTTTTTTTTAATATTTGTGTTTTGTATATGTAAAACTTATGCTTTCTTGTGCATGTCCACGCTGGGTGCCATGGCACATGCCTGTAATCCCAGCGACTTCAGAGGCTGAAGCAGGAGGATCCCAAGTTTGAGGCCAGCCTCAGCAGCTTAGGGAGAACCCTGTCTCAGTATAAAAAGTAACAAGGGATGTGGATGTAGTTCAGGGTTAGAACACCCCTGGGTTTAATCTCCAGGACCAAAAAAAAAAAAAAAAAAGAGAGAGAGAGAGTGGCAGGCAAGCAGGCAGGGAAGAGCTGTATGCATATCCTGTATGCCGTATATTTACCTTCGGAGGCAAAATTAAAAACTTACCTACATACAGTTGTGAACTGGTTTTACATATGTTTTCTGAATCATGTAGAAAAATATTTATAGTTTTAATATTAAAAGCATTTCTTTTTTTTTTTTAATCTTAGTTGGGAAACTTTTTTTTTTTTTTACTTTATTTTATTATTTTTTTTAATGTGGTGCTTAGGATCAAACCCAGGGCCTTGCACGTGCCAGGCGAGCGCTCTACCGCCGAGCCATAACCCCAGCCCCTTAAAAGCATTTCTTTATGTGATTGTCTTGTCCGTTTTTTCCAGACCGGTCGGAGGGTGACAGGTCAGAAGGCTCTGGTCAGGAGAATGAAAATGAAGATGAGGAGTAACCACCTCTATTTGGCAAGCACTTGGATGTTCTGGAATTTGTATAAGACATTCATTATATTTTTCCTTTACAGAACTTTAGTGCAATTTTAAGGTTATGGTTTTTGGAGTTTTTCCCTTTGGGGGGATGACCTGACATTAGTTTGGAGTGAGTGTGTGCATGAATTTGGGAGAGTGCGTAAAACAAAACACAATGTTTTTACAGCTTTCTGCCGTGTGTGAGGAGTGCTGGAAGACAAGGTGCAATACGCTCCCTGACCTGCAGGGGGTTCAGGACAGTGCCGAGGGTCCTTTTCATTGTAGGGAGAATGCGGGTCAAATAAATTTCTACACTTGCCGTTTGCATGTTTGTCGCTTTGTAATTAAAGAAGTTGGTTGTTTTAAGACATCCTAAAATGGAGTTTTTATTGAATGCCTTGCTGTTTACCTGCCTTTTCCAATCTTTCTGTAATGAAAAAGGACTTTCTCTATTCTTTTTAAATTTAATAACATTTTCCTTTTTTACTTCAGTGGGATGATAAAATCACACTAAAGGCTTTTCACTTCTCTTTTCAAAGCCCTTGATCTTTGCCTGTGGTCGTCCTCCCATGATCAGTGGTGCCTGGTACACTCAGTCACTGAAGCAGCATGGGTACAAGCTGCTTCTGAAGGTGCTGGTTTCTGGTTTTTTACCTCTGTCTCCAAATTCCAGATTTCACTGTAAGCTGTTGACCATCCAGAGTTTTTGTTTTGTTTTGTTTTGAGGGGAAGGGTGGTACTGGGGGTAAAAGCCAGGAGAACTTTACCACTAAGCTATATCCCCAGAACTTTTTTTTTTTTTTTTTTTTAAGATAGGGTTTTGCTAAGCCTGCCTCAGACTTGCAGTGTTCCTGCCTCAGCCTCCAAGTCACTGGGATTACAGGTGTGCGCCACTGCACCCAGTGTCCCCTTCCCCTCTAGCAGGACCGACATAGTTTACACCTAGGCCTTTGTACCTTAGAGGTTATGCCCTGAAACTGTTCCTGTAGGCTTAACCCTGCAGGCATCCTCCCTCCCCATTTCTAAATTTATTCTATTGGTCTTTCCCTCAGTCTAATTGTATGTCACATCTCCTCAATCCTTTTACAAAATAAGGAAAATCGTTTCTTAATACCAAACTATTCTCTCTTTATATACTTTCTAATTTCTCTACTCTGGTAATTATCTAAATGAGCACAGCATATATATCTGTGACTTTTTTTGTGCTGGTTTCCTGATGTCTAAAGCCTCTCAGAAGCTGGACTTGCTAGGTGGGGAGAGGGGCGTTAATCTGTTGTGTCCTTGGGGGCAGAAAATCAAGTATGGTAGAGTGGTTGTCCACTATTCACTGGTTCAACAGGATAATTTCAAAATCAGTATCTCTGTCTCTCTCTGTCTCTGTCTCTCTCTCACGCATACACACACACACACACACACACACACAGCATTGCTGTTATAGATTTCTGGGATAACATGTTGATTCTTCTTTTCTAAGAAGAAGATAACTTGAAACTACAGCCTGAGCTCTTGGAACTGTCTCCCTGCAGAGGAGAGCAGCAAACCCACAGCCTCTCTGTGACGATTCCCACTAGCAGCTCTCTTTACTGGACCTCCTTACCAGCCAACAGTTGGAGAAGAAATAAAATTACATGCTTGGATTACTGTTACTCACCTGGAAATAGCCACTCAGTGCTGCCAAAATTATAGCCGTGACATGGGAAAGAAATGTGGAGTTGTCAGGGTCAGAGCTGTAGATTCATGAACCTCATCCATCACTGCCAGCACCAGCACCACTTGCTCTTGACTGTATTCTGGAGGTGGAAACCAGACCCTCGAAGGCTGCATGGTGACCAAGAGGCCAGTGCCAACATAAATCTGATAGACCTCCATGGTCAATTCAAACAGAGACCCCTCCTGGTTAATGCTTTTAGTGTGTTTGCTGTAACGGCTGATTTTTTTTTTTTTTAGAGAATTTTAATATTTATTAGTTTTCGGCAGACACAACATCTTTGTTGGTATGTGGTGCTGAGGATCGAACCCAGGCCGCACGTGTGCCAGGCGAGCACGCTACCGCTTGAGCCACATCCCCAGCCCACAGCTGATTTTTTTTAATCAAAAGTAATACATATCTTTCCGTTTAATTAGCAGTAGTTTAAATATACCTTTTATTTTCAGAAATCTAAATATCCTGGGAAAAAAGGGACTGAGACATAACCTGTCTTCAGCTGGGCCATGAACAGCCTCACTGTGGCCAAGGAGAGCCTCTCCTGCATGGAGCATCAGAGACCTCTCCTCCCCCTGAAGTGGCACAAGCCCAGAGCCACCACCTGCCAAAAGGAGATGGTTAGCTTTGTGAAGCAAGGGAAATGGCTTCACCATCTGGCACTTGGTGGACAAAGCCATAGAGGTGTGTCTGTGTTATTCAGCGTGGCGAAGGGTCAGAGCCTTAGCAAACAGGTTAATGACGCCACGATTCCTGGAGGGTACCGTGGTTTTGGTTTCTGGTTCTCAGCTACTTGTGTGCCCTGCTCAAGCCTTTTGTTTTCTTTGGGTTTTTGGTTCTTCTCTGAAGCAGGGGTGATTATACACCCTCCATCCCATGTCACAGGGGATGTTTTAGGAACACAGCACACAGTAGGTGTCACTTCTTCACTGATAAAGCAGTAACGTGGATATGCTGTAGAGGGTGTAGGGAAATCAAGAGGACAGAGGCTACTGGAGGACTCAGGAGGGTCGAGAGCAGGAGAAGTAACAGAAGGTGGTCAAGTGGCTTTTCTCCACCCGCACAGGTGCTGACGGGGAGGCTGTGGCTGGGGGAGGGCGAGAGGTACAGGACTGCTTTGCACAGTTCTCCTGTGAACCTGAAACTGCTCTGAAAATTTTTTTTAACTTGTCAGAGGAATTAGGACCTCTGTCCATAGGGAAACCACAGACTCAGTAACTCAGGATTAGGGCAAGACTTGCAGGGAGGCGGCAGTGAGAGGAAGCGTTCCATAGAGGCCCAAGGAGCAAGGCTGGACCCTGGGGCTCCCTCAGGAAACAGAAGGTGGCTTCAGCGGTGACAGTAGGGTCAGGCAAAAGTGGTGGGTTCTGTTGCTACATCTCAATGATATGATCTGCCTCTCACCCTCTTTGACTTTGCTTATGGGACAGAGAATACATATCTTTTGATTGATGGATAAATGATAAACCACTGATGTTCATTAAATCTCCTTTTAAAACTTTGGGCTTAAGAGTGTTTTTTGGGCATGCTGAGAATTATTCGTTTAATGATATTCCATGAATGTAATTGCCATGGGGAGTTATGAAAATGCATGAATGGATATACCTGTTGAGTAATAATCTGCCCCGGAGTCCTCTCCCTCAGGGGAGGCCAGAGATAGGAACAGGACTGCAAAAACGGGGAGGGGAGAGGCACCCAGAATCATCCACAGGCCCAAGTCCCAGTGCAGAGTCACAATTTCTACCACTATACATGTACCAGAAACACATTTAATCAGACAAACCTATTCTAAATAACACTTATTTATAAATATTGATTATAATCCTAAACATTTTTCTTCAAAAAAAGAAAATCCCAAAAATTCAAGTTAAATGTATTTCAGGATTAGTTGGGCTTTTTGTTTGTAGTGCAGCTTTTAACACCCAGTGCATTCAGGTGTCCATTGTCAGAACACAGCGCAGGACTGTCCCTTGGGCGTGTGCAGACACTGATGGACAGGCACAGCCTGCGCTGCGCTCGGTGGGTCTTGACTGCCAGGAGTTGGGGTGATTGGCATTGGTTCATGGCATCTCAGAATGGTGGTGTGGAGGAAAGGAGGAGTGTGACTGCTCAGGAAATGCCTCTGAGGGAAATGAACACAGCTATGTGGATTATATCCAGTGTTAAAAGGAACACTGGCCAAAACTGTGTTCCTGGTAATCTTATGCAGATTTGGGTTTGTGCTTTGAATTCTTCTCAACAAATCTTAATTGCTTTCCTTGTGTTTTCAGTTTTTGAGATCAGGCTGCAGATATTAACACCTCCCATGCCCTTTGGTTGATGGTAGTTCTTTCTGCCTACCTTACAGAGCCTCTGGCCTGTTCTGATAACAGTGACTGTTTGTTTTTTGTTTTGGTACCAAGGATTGAACCCAGGGGTGCTTAACCACTGAGCAACATCCCCAGCCCTTTTTATATTTTATTTAGAGACAGGGTCTTGCTGAGTTGATGAGGCTGGCTTTGAAAGGGCGACCCTCCTCCCTCAGCCTCCCTAGCCACTGGGATTGCAGGCGGCTATCACTGCACCCAGTGTTAACAGCGACTTTTAACTATCCCTCATCCTCTGGGGCTACAAAGAGAAGACTCCCTCTCTTTGTGGAGAAGACCTGGAGTTTGGCCCTGCTTTTGGCTTAACTCTTTGAGACCTCAGGCAGTTTTCTTGGGCCTTCCTGGATTGTTTGTCCCCTCTCTGACCATAAGGATGGCGTTGGTCTGCCCTTCCCATCCTCATTTATGGCTAGTCATGGCCATTTTTCCAAGCATCAGGCTGAGATTGACTTCCTCTCCCCTGTGGGTTCTGTGTTCACTGCAGGTAGCAGCATGGATGCCTGTCTCTGCCTCCTCCCTCAGAGGCTTGGAGCTCTGGGTGCTGTGACCAAAGAGCCACAACCCATCAAGCCTGTCACTGCTGGGGAGAGCTGTCCTCACCACCTGAGGAGCACCTCCCAGTGAGGATGCCCCTGCTCTGTAGAATTAAGATCGTGATTTGGGACTCATCCTCTCTCATGGTCATTCAGGGCGACACAGAAGCACGTTGTCTTTGCAAAGAGCCATTCGCATGGGGGAAGGGCGTTTCTAGTAGAGGCTCCTGCTCCCTCAGACTCCTTAGGCTCCTGGTGCTACTCAGCACTCCCTCCCTACCTCCCTGTTGCCGTCCCCTTCCTCACAGTCCTTTTGTGCTGCTCAGCAAATGACAGCTGTCAGCACCTCCATTCTAGGATAAAGTTATCTTTCAACAACTTCTCACTTTTTGCCAGGGAGACCCCTGTAAAAGGAACAATCCAACCTGATCGGGGAGCGCCTGAGGAGAAGAGCCACTGGCCCTGCTCTCCCGCAGCCTAGGCCCTCCCTGGGTGCTTTGCCCACGTTCCTGTCATCCCTCTGAGGGACTCCTCCCTAAACTCTTGTGTCTCACACCGAAACAGATTCCAGAACTTTGCACATGAAACCAAGCAGCTTGCCCAGAAGACCCAGCCACTAGGCGGCAGCCTGAGCACACCACAGAACCCCAGCATCCCGCTTCTGGGGCAGGCTGTCAGAGCTCACAGTGCTCAGTCCCTCCCAGTCAGTGCACTGTTCCTCCCTCTCCTGCTCTGGCCCTGTCTGCCTTGGCCTGTTGCAAATATTGAGTTAGTGTATTGGTGGTTCGATTCTTTGCAGAAAGACCCCAAGCAGCTCTGCAAATGAGAATCAAGGAACCTGAGCATCAGGTGGTCCTGTCTTGACTCTCCACCCACTGCTCCAGGAGCTGATTAGCTTAGGGCCATACAGCTGAGCAGAGGTGGTAACTAAATGAATGGGAACAGTGGGCGGGGAGGATCAAAGCAGGGTGGCCCTCAGCCACCAGTCCTCTCATTCTCAGCCATGCTGCTGCCACCTGGCGTCTCAGGACCTGAGCTCATCTTCACGTGGCCAGAGAAAGGGCCAGGTGCTGAGCTGGGTTCCTCCGCGTGGGGCCCTGTGCCTCCTGGGCCACAGCAGCCCCCACTGCTGGCATCCAGAGCAGCACAGGGCCGAGCCAGATGTAAATCTCAGTGAAACAAGCAAAGACTTGCAAAAGCCCTACAAGTTTTCCCCTTTCAACAAATCCAGAAGATGTGGGTCTGGATTTTTATTTTTGTTGTGTTTTGTTATGTTTTTTCGTGGTCCTGAGGATTGAACCCAGGACTCTCATGCATGGTAGACAAGCACTCTACCCTTGAGCTACACCCCTGCCAGGACTGAGGTTTTTAAATAAAAGTGGCCAGATGTCCCACCTGCACTGTCCATGGGTTCACCACGTATGAGCGTGGGTTTAGCTGGGGGTTCTGAGCTGCAAAAGCAGTGTTCTCCAAAATGCTTGGGGACTATAGAATGTTCTTGCCCCCTGGTGCCTGCACACACATCCCTCTAGCTCAACCGAGCCAATCTGAATTTCTGAATACTGCAGAATATGGTTCTAGTTTCCAGACATCCTTCAAGACAGCCGCACTGTCACCAATTTGGGGGTCTCCATAACTCCCTGGTTGGAAATACCCACCTCTATTTCTAGAATCACTACTTGACTTGTATTAGAATCACATTTCCCAGGTATTTCTCCCAAAATTAGGGAGAAAATACTCTAGTGTTCTTGCCCCTAGCACCTAGCTTGGTGCTTCGCAAACAGCAAGTGTGCAGTGTCCAGTAGAAGAGTAAAATGAATGGACCTCACTCAGTAAGGAAGGTGAATCCTTTTGTGAGATGCAGTTTTTCTAGGATAATTCAGACTAGATCCTACTGTATCCCAGCTGGTCTGTGGCCAGCAGTGGGGGCTTGGAGTCTGCATTCCTTCCCTAGAGCAGCATAATCGGGAGATTTCCTCAGCCCTTGGGTCCCAAGCCAGTTTACTGCACTCAGAAATCCCTAAACAGGAACTCATTCCAGAGGTAAGGTTCTGCCCTGTTCTACCTCTGTGCATACTAATCAGGAACATGGTCCCTTCTGAAACAGGACAGGATGCACACAGATATACATAGAAAACGGACACCACCTGGCAGCGGGAGCGTGGGCTGCCTGTGGGCCAGCAGCGGAAGCCAGTGTACCTGCCTTGTTGAGGTCAGGCACTATGAGGTGGCTGCCCTAGCCTCATAGAAGGTCTTCCGTGAGCTGCAGGGCAGGGACCAGCCAGCCACTGGTATCTGCCACACGGCAAAGGCTGCCTCTCCAGAGGATGGTGAGACTCCCAAGAGGCACACTTTGGAAGCATCCACAGCAAGTTCTGGAAGTACCCCTGCTGACCAGGGCAAGGGAGAGTCCTGAACTTGGCTTGGGTGATCACCAGGCAGAAGGGCAGCACAGGAGGGAGTTCACCACAGCAACTACAAGCCCACACTCCAAGGGCTGATGCAAATCAACAGGAAGAGAGGAACCTGGCCACAGAAACACCTCACCACTGTGCCTCCACCTCTGGGGCCACACCCTCCTCCTCCCTCACTCTTGTGGCTGGGCACTCCGTCAGGGCTGTGCTCCAAACAGCAAGCCACACAGGCCATGGCCAGGGCGGACTGGCAGTGCTTCACACCCATCAGGAGCTACACCCAGGTGTACCAGTTCTGGTCTCGTGCTCCACTTCCGAAGGTTTTTTCCCTGTATCTAATTTATCAATTCAGCGATATCCTAGAAGAGCAGAAGCTAGAAATGATCTCGGAGACCACAGGTCAACTCCCCACTCCCCTTTCCCATTTTACAAAGGATGTCGAGAGGTGACAGGGTGTCCCATGATGTGGGGGCCGAGGCAGAGCCGGGCCCAGGACTCGAATTGCCTAGTCCAGGTACAGTGCCTTCTATCCTGTGCTGCCCCCGGGCCACAGTAACAGGAACTTCCTCCCAGGAGTAGCCGTGTGGCCCCGAGGCCAGCCCTTCTCACAGGGCACTTAGACAGGACCAGCAGAAACTGCCCTCCTACTAACAGTGTCTGTTTCTTGGCTTGGCTTGGTGCCACAACCCTAGTCAGTCTCAGTGACGCACTGACCTGTCCTCACCAGATGTGTTTGCTTGTTAAATTCTGGAAGTGGAACACTTGGTACCTGCCTTTTCTGTCTTATTTATAGTGGTTTCTCCCTTCTTTTGAAATACCAAAAAATCTGCCAGTGGGGAGGTGGAAGGGTCCTGCAGCCTGTGGGCCAGGTCCTAACCAGATCCCTGCTCCTGGATGCTCCCCGTGGACTATTGGGTACCTGTGGCTGCCCCATGCTGCCTGCCTGGAGCCCACAAAGCTCAGGACAAGCTGCAGGTTAGGGAGTGCCTTGCTGCGCTCAGCCACACTAGGCCGCTTCTGCCCAAGGCGTCGGGGACAGTGTGCGGCTGGACTCCTGGTACAGGTTGTGAAGAAGAGAAAAGGGTCCGTACAGTGGTCTCCTCCAAGTCCCTGCTCCTCCTGTGGGCCACACCTCCATCTTCCCTGGGTGCTTCAGATGCCTCTGGTTCTGTCACTGGGACCCAGAAGCAGCCGACACACATCTCACAGCAGATACTGAAGTCACAGACCGGTGCCATCATTTTCAGTCCCTCCGCGGCTGCACACCAGGCGCTTCCTTCCCTGAGCGTGATGACATGTCCCAGGCCCTGGCACAGATGGCCGGGGACTCCGTGAAGGCCAGCACCCCTGGCTCCATCCAGCCCAGCCCTTCCTGGGGCCCTCATCTCTCTTCTGCAGCTAAAATGTTCCCCTCTTCAATGCTCTGCAGCTGCAGCCGCTGACTCGCAAGAGCCCTGCTGCCTCGGCGACCCCCGGGGCCAGCCCCTGGGACAGTTCGTGCTGAGAATAAGACACCCGGCAAAGCCTCCTCCCCGAATAAGTTGATTTTGGCCTCAGCCTCAATGGCTCTAGCCAAGCTGGCTGCATAGCTGTCCAAGGACTTGTGTACTTCGGCTTTCACATGGAGGACAGAGTTCCGGGCAGCTTCTGGGGAGAGGGCAGAGAGAAGTTAGCAGAGGGCCAGGACCAGTGGCTGTGCTGCAGAGGCGGCCGCAGCTGCCCTGCCCTGAGAGGGGAGGCACACGGAGGTGGCAGACGCCAGACTCCCCAGCTACCATCCTGGACTCCCAACTCGCTACCCAGAAACTCTCGGAAGTTACTGAGTCTGGCCTTGGTTCCTCATCTGCACAGAGGAGGGCAATTACTTCCTAGGGTCTCTGCAGTACAAGTGAGTTCCTTTCAAGATGCTCAGCCATCTGGGAAGAGCTCTCTGCTCTTCCGGATCCCCAGCTTCGGGTACCATCCGTGGCTGCGACCACTACAGACCCAGATGCCAGCCCTCTCCTCTCCACATTGCTAGAGCTTCCTAAGCCATGGGACCTCAGGGTGGAGAGATGTTAAGGAACCCTACCAGGATTGGGACCGCTGGCGACCGACACGAACAGGACAGGGAGGCCGCTCCTCACGTCACACCCTGGCCCTACATCACAGACGCACTGCCTTTCTCATTTCCTAAGGAGCAGCAACCTACTCACCCCCTGCCTTTTGTGTCAGCATGGGATCACACTCAGGGGCTCCACCACTGAGCTGCATCCGCTAATCTTTCTTTTGAGACAAGGTCTCAAGTGCTCATTGGGTTGCTGAGCTGGCCTTGAACTTCCCATTCTCCTGCCTCAACCTAAGTCAGCCTCCTGAGTGGCAGGGACTCCAGGCGTGGGCCATATGCCCAGCTTACATGCCACTCTCCAGGAGGGCAGAGAGGAGAGGACCAGCCTCCCTGCTCTGCCCCTCACGGGGCAGGGTGGCACCCTGCCAGTGCCTTCTCTTTCAGGCCTGCAAAAAGGTGCTTTCAGAGCTGCCCTCCCAGGATGCAGGTGTGAAGGGACAGGTGGTCCTGGGTGGGATGATCATTTCTGTAAAAATGATAATTATGAAGCCTGTGTGGCTGCTGGTCCACGCTCCATTCTCGACTCTGTGCAGTGGATGACTCGGTCTCTTCCTCGCTGCCCTGCATGACCACCTCTGTGTTCACTCTGAATTCAGGCAGGACATTAATTGTGTAGAGAGAAAGTAGAAGAAACGAATGATGCGCTACAGACTCTGCTGGGCCCGTCCTCATGTTTGCATTCACCATTCTGGAGACTTAAAGCCCCGGCCCCTCCGCCACATCCACCTCCCAGCCACGCTGCTGCTGCCCGCCCTCGAGTTCAGGGAACAGAGTCTGAAATCTGTGGGCAGCTGGTGGCTCCGTGGTGGTCCCTGGACTCGGCAGGCTGTACCCCGAGGCCCAGAGCAGCAGGGGCAGGGTGTTCAGAACAGGCCGAGCGGGAGATGGAGGGAGGGGCTGCAGCGCCCACCTCAGCTTAGGGGCAGCTGCGGCTTCTCCTCGCTGGCCAACTGGAAGGAGCTGTGCCTCAGAGGCCAGGTCCACGTTCCTAACCGAGAGGGAACCAGGACCTGGGCGGTGTGCGGGCAGCTGGGCAGCTGCTTTCCCGGCTTAGATGCCGCTTGCTCTGAGCTGGGAGCCCGCGGACTCCAGTGAGACCGGCAGGGATGGGAATGGGGGGGGTCTGGGGCGGGCAGGGCCTGGCCAAGCCGTCTCCCTCAGATCCTCCTGTCCCCGCTCTTTTCTTGAAGCAGTCCGTCACAGAGACCCACCTTTGATTTGCTCCACTTCATCCTCAAATGTCACCGAGCTCCTCCTCTTGGGCGGGCAGGTGCAGTGGGCGGGCGGGGTGTCCTCAGAGGCACAGTCTTCCAGCAGCATCACGTCTGTCCCTGAGGCAGAGGGTGGACTGTGCAGTCTGATAGCAACGCCAGGTCCCCTCCCTCCCCACACCCCTCGGCCCTCTCCCTTCCTTCAAACCCTGGTCAGGGGCAGCGAACTGCCCTGCAGCACCTCCCCGAACCGCCCCAGCCATCACTGCACTCTGGGGTCCGCACACAGCAGGGGGCGGCCTCCATACACAGAACCCGCGCGGTGTCCCCCCTGGGCAGTGGGCTATGAGCCACCCACACGGGTGCTGCCAGACTAGGAGGGGCAGGCGGGCAGGGCTGCGGGAGAGGGTCTCTGGGGGACCCCTTGGGTGCCATGTGCCCATGGTTGAGACAAGTGCTACACAAACACGGAGACTTGGAAGCTTGAAGTTCTTAGGGAATCAAAAGGAAAAACAAAGGATTTTGGGGAGCGGCCAGTGGAACACCCCTGCCCAGGCCACTGCTGTGAGCTGGGCACTGCCACCTTCATGCCCCAGCAGGACGGGTGACAGGTGTGGCCAGTGCCCTGCTTCTTTCACTGGCCCCATGGAGACCCTGGCAGCCTCTGGGTGGGGGGCTCACCCAGGCCCACAGTCCCAGAACGGGGCTCACAGTGCAGGCCCAGTGGGCAGGGAGGGGCTCAGCGAGACTGGGTGGGCTTGGGAGGTGCTTCTCCCAGGCAGGAGGCGAGGTGGACCACAATGACAAGGCCACAGCTCGCCGGGAGCTTCCTCTATGCCAGGGACAGACGCCCTCTGATACCGGGGCTTTTGCCCCGCTTTGCCAAGTGGGGACCCTTGGGTGCGTGAGACGAAGCAGCTTGCCCAGGGCCAGCGGGAGACAAGGCCAGCAGGTGGACTCCAGGCCTTCTGGTCAGAGGTTATTAGAATTAGAAAACAAATTACTTTTGAATCAACTTCTGACACTTTCGACCACAGAGCCACCCCGGGCAGGAGAGCGGCCCAGAGCTGCCTTCTCACAGGGCCGCGGGGCACAGCGGCAGAAGGCCCCCCAGCAAGCTTACCCGAGTCCCGGGAGCAGCTGAAGCCAGTGTCGCCCGTGCTGCTGCTGTGTCCCAGGGGCTGGCCTCCTGCCATGAGGGCCGTGAGGTGCGGGGACAGGCCCAGGTCTGAAAAGCAACAGGGGTGTGTGACACGGTGACCAGTGGCTGACCCCCACGCCCCTCTGCCTGGCCTCCCTGGCAAAACTCGCTCTGCGCCCTGGAGGAGACCTCCGCTGCCCCCCGTCCCCCTGCCCATCCCACTGGGACAGGCCTCGGGTCTCCACCGGGAGCCCGGCAGTGAGGCGGATGCGGAGGTCAGACCCCGGGTCCCCCTCCCGAAATCCTGCTCGAATACAAAGGAGGACAGGATGCTGAGAGCTGGAAACACATGTAAGGATGGGACTCGGCCTGGGAAGGGGACCAAGGCGGGCAGGGCAGGGCCAGCAGGCGTGGGCACCCGAGGCCAGGCGCTGCTGCAGGCAGGCCAAGCAGGGCCCTAGGCCTCTCGGCCCTCAGCCTCGATGCCCGACCCCCAGGGCTGGCAGAGGTGGGAGTCGTGGGCACAGCCAGGGTGGGCTGACACGGGGGACACCGGGAGTGAGAAGTCCCACTGGACCCGCCAGGAGGGCGGACCGAGAACCCCTCCCCGGGAGAAGCTAGCAGCCCTGGAGACGGAGAGCAAGAGCTGCCCCTCACCTGCCCAGAAGGACCAGGGCCAGGCCAAAGAGCCTGGGGGGCGGGCCTGCAGGGCACCCCTCGAGCATCCCAGGCACCCTGCGGGCATGGCTTCCCAGCCGCCTGCCCAGGCTGCGGTGCTGGACGGGAAGGGTCGGGCAAGCACCAGCAGCAGCCGGGAAAGCACCAGCAGGAAGATGGGGGCCGGGGGCCTGGGGAGACCTGCAAGGAGCTTAAGGAAAAGCCACCACGGGGAACCCACCGAGCGAAAATAAAGACTCCATAAGACCCGGGGCTGGAGCTCCCGGAAAAGGACCAGGCCCAAAAGGCTCTGAGAAAGTAAAACAGAAGACAAACGCAAAACTCCTGAGATGCCCAGGAAGACCTCCTGCCCAGCAGATGTGACGACTGCGTGGCTGGCATGGGTCGCCAAGGCTCGGGTTGGAAACGTCATCCCCGGGCAGCGGTGTTGGGAGGTGAGGCCTGATGAATGGGTCAACCTCATTATTCTAGAGGCTGGTGCGTGACCTCGAGAGTGGGTGTGGTGTCAAAGTGAGTCTGGCCTCAACTTGCTCTTGCTGTTCCATCTTCCGCCGCGGTATGACATGGCACAGAGGCCCTTGCCCAGTGACACCACGCTCCTGGGCTTCTCAGACTCCAGAATCATCCTTGTCCGTTAGAAACTATCTGACCTCAGGTGTTTTGTCACAGCTGCAGAAAATGGCCTAAGACAATGATCTACCTTAAAGACGCTCTTGTATTCTATCATACACTCCCAGTAGAACACCTCAATCTTTGATTTCTTCCTCGTGCCTCTGAGGGTACAAAGTGTCAGAATGTACTACTTCCTTTCTTCTCTGGAGCCAGGGAGGAAATGGTGGTGGCAACGGAGCGTCAGTCCCAGCAAGCTTCCCTCAGAACTTTCTTTTCACCACCTCTGGGAACCCCACAAGAAGATGCACTTTTGCTTTCCCCATTGTTGGGTGTTGGTTACAGGCTGGGGCCAGAGGACACCCAGCACCTCCCTGCACCTGGCCACTCCCCCAGGTCTGGGTGCAGATCACGGCTGTGTTCAACAGGAGGCCTGGTGTGGAGAGCAGCACCGCAGGGCCCCTGCCAGCTGCAGGGGTGGACGCCACATGGGTTTGGACACTATCTCTGAGGCCGTGGCAAATGCCTGGAACGTGTCTCAGCATCCACCAGTGGGAGGACCATCTGTGCCTGACCACTGTGGCTGGGCACCAGGTGGCATCGCTGCTTACCCAGCACTTCCCGCCGGAAAGTCCAGGCACCCTGCAACGTTCCCCGAGGAACGACACATCTCTGGGGCCCAATCCAACCCCTAAAAAAGCAGCACAGTGGGACGGGCCCTGGGCTTGCGGCTCCCAGGAGCACGTGGTGGGTAGAAGCCACTGATCCTTTTAGAAGTGAAACCACGACAGATTCCGGGGTGAAGCAGGCACCTGCAGGAACCCAGAACCCAAAGGTGCCACCAGGAAGCTACTCAGAAAAGCAAAGGGGCAAGTTCAAGGGCTCCCTCACCTCCCCTCAGCCCTGGCACCTCAAAGGGCCTGCTGGGAGGCAGCAGCCTCCTTCTCAGGAGGCCGGAGCGCAGGAGCCCGGAGCGCAGCCCCAGGTGAGGGCACCTGTGTCCGGCCGTGCTCCCAAGGCCTGGCGCTGCAGGCGGAAGGGCTGCCTGCTCTCCCAAAGGCCCCTCCTCCCTCTGCCTGCGAGCTTTGGACTTGGGGTGAGCAGCCTAAGGCCAGTGTTGGCATGGGGCACACCTTTCATCACTTGAAGCCAAGGTCCACTCAGGGTGACCCCCCCGCCACCATGAGGCGCATTGCCACAACCTCCAGGAGGCCCAGACACCTCAGCTGCTAGGTGGGACCCCAGTGAGAACATGCCGGTGACCCCACAGGCAGAAGGTCTGGTGGCCCAGGGGCAGATGGTACCCCACAGAAAGCTTCCACTCCAGGCCAACAGAAATGAGAGACTGAACCACGGATGGTGGCTGAGACCTGCAGCCTGAGGGGTCGCTGTCACGTGAGGCCTTCCAGTCAGCGGGGACTCGGGGCACTGCGGAATGTGCTTCTGCCTTTGCACCCTGTTGGTGAAAGCTTTCCAGGTGCCCTGCAAAGGGACACCCACAGGACCAAGACAGAGCCCCAGGGCACTCTTGCTGGCTCTGGAATGGATCAGACCATCCTTCCGCACAGGAGCTCTGGGGCACTCCGGGGGACAGGAGGGGGCCCAGAGGCAGGTTTGTGGCAGGAAAGACCTCTGGGTTTAGGGATCAGCTGCAGGCCAAAGCCCTGCCACAGAGAGCTGAGACAGGGGCACCAGCGTCCTGCCTGGTCAGTCAGGGTGCGCGGCTCCTACCGTTGCCGCTGCCTCCTGCTGCCATAGGCCCTGCCAGGAGGAACCGAGGGATTCCCCGGGTCCTGTCCCTGGAGGAGGCCAAGGACTCGGAGCCCATCATCCACGAGCTCTCCCACCCGAGGCACCCACAGGACAGCCCTTCACCACGTGGGACAGAGGGCAGCTGCTCTCCACCGGCCCTGGTCAGAGCCGCGGGACCCCGAGGACAGTCATGGCGAGGCGCCTGGGAACTGGGCAGCAAGCAGATGCCCCATTGGCTGCCCCCTCCCCGCCATCCTCCTTGTTTCCTGCCTCGTCCTCAAGTTCGCCAGCACAGGGTCCTGCCGGCGCACAGGTCGCCCTGCACAGGCAGCGAGGACACAGCAGGAGCTTCTCTCCATGACTGAACTAAAGCCCTCAGACTGGCATCTTGTCTCCAGGACGACACTCGGAAAACGCCAGGAAAGCCATCAGTATGCCCTGTCACCTCTGCCACTGAGTGTCCCTGCTACGAGAAGTCACTTCTTTCTCCCTCTTGAGGGGGAGTGGGGACCCCTCCATTTCATGAGGGGAAATTCACAGCGGGTGGAGGAGCTAGGACCCACAGCCAGAGCCACCGCAGCTGGAGGGAGGAGAAGGGTGACTAACAGAGACTGCCATGGAAGTCACCAGGGGCCAGCGGCTCGGCCAGTGCAGGACCCAGGGCCATCGCCAGCACATTCCCGCCCAGGTCCAGTCTCCCTGCTGGGAGGCAGGCTCCGCAGGGCCCGGTGAGCCTGGGGACCTGGGCTGCGGAGCTCCTGTCCTGTGTCCCAGCTCCTGCAAGCCTAAAACTGTTTCAAAAGTGAGAGAAACCTGAGCCCTGGCAGGCGGGCTCCCTCTGGGTCCCAGAGTGTGGTGAGACTGACTGGGGTCAGCCGGCAGAGGGAGGGGCAGGTGGTCCTCCTGGTGACATCTCAGTGAAGGGCTGAGTCTGGCACTGAGAGACCCCTGACCTGGGAGGGAGGTCGGGGTGAGCAGCTGGCTGGGCGGGGAGCCAGGCAGGGGACGCAGCGAGGGGAGGGGGCGGGCAGGCCTGCGCCGCACAGACCCCTTCTCTCCACTGGAAGCAACTGCCCTGAGACCAGGGCCCCAGACGGGGCTTTGGAAGACAGAGTTCCGCATCCTGGTGTCCTTGGCCTAACTCTTCTGAAACTACGCTGGCCCCCTGGGTGGCACGAAGGTGTCTGGGACCCCAGGGACAGGTGTGCTCCTTACCCACAGGAAACCTGTGCTTGGATTTTTTTTTTTTTTGGTACCAGGGATTGAACTCGGTGGCACTCGGCCACTGAGCCACACCCTCGGCCTATTTTGCATCTTATTTAGAGACAGGGTCTCACTGAGTGGCTTAGCACCTCACTATTGCTGAGGCTGGCTCTGAACTCACGATCCTCCTGCCTCAGCCTCCCAATCCCTGGGCTCATAGGCCTGTGCCACCGCGTGCAGCTAGAAGTCTGTGCTTTGAGCAGGAGGTGAGGCCACAGGAGAACCCGCCCACCACAGAGCATCTGGGAAGAAAGCCCCCCCACACTGCCTGGTAGTGGGTCCCTTCCTAACTCTTCCCAAGTCACCTGTGATCCTGTTGGAAATGCTGAAGAGCCTGGAGGTCCTCTGCCGCTGGACGAAGGGCTCCCGGTAGTAGCGGTCCCCACAGCACATGCCCAGGAGCTCCTTGCGGACAGTCTTGTTCCAGAGCCCATAGATCAGCGGGTGGCAGACGGCACTGGTGAAGGACAGCCAGGTGGCCCAGGTCTCCAGGGCTGGGGAGACGTAATTCTTCCCCCAGAGGGCCTCGGAGGTGATGACCACCATGTAGGGGCCCCAGGTGACCATGAAGGCACCGATGACCACCAGGATGGTGACGAGGGCCTTGCACTGGTTGGCCGAGTAGGCCACTCCCTGGAAGGCGCTCCTCCTGCTGCCCGAGGACGAGGTGGAGGTGCTGGAGTTCTTCCTTCCGCTCCTGCCGGCGTCCTCCTCCAGGATGACCACCGTGCCACAGTGCACCTTGCGCGCCTTGACCCTGGCCACGCGGAAGATGAAGCCGTAGCACACCAGCATGACCAGGAAGGGGAACAGTGCGCACCAGATCTGCCAGAAGGCAGTGTAGCCGGGCTCCCGGTGCCAGGCGGCCACGCACATCCACTTGAACTCATCAAACTCCACCGACGACCACCCGAACAGCGGGGGCAGGCAGCCCACCAGGGAGTGCAGCCAGACGTAGACCAGCGCCAGCACGGCCCTGTTGCCCGTGATCTTCATGGGGTACACCATGGGGTACAGGACGGCATAATAGCTGGAAGAGGGCAGGGAGGCAAGAGAGGGCGTCAAGGGGGGCGGCACCTGCTCTCAGGGGCCCCACGCCCCGGCCCACCCAGCCCTCCCCACAGGAGTGGCCGGCCGTCCATCACACAGCTTGCAGGCCCTTGGGCATGGGCCAGCGGGCACTGGGGGAGCAGACCTTGGAGGTGCTGCTTCCAGGTGGCCTTCCGCATCCTGGCGTCCCCGGCCTAACTCTTCTGAAACTACGCTGGCCTCCAGGAAGGTGCCTGAGATCCCAGGGACACTGGTGTGCTCCCCGCCGCAGGAAACCTGGGCTTTGAGCCAGAGGCGAGGGTACAGTCCTGGGGAACCCACCCACCAACACAGCAGCACTTGCAGGCACCCCTGGGCCTCTGCGGGGGTCACAGAGCTGCTCTTGCTGATGGTAATCCACTCAGATCAGTGTCCAGGATCTTAAAGAACCCAAAGGTTGCCGGGCGGGTGGCGCATGCCTGTAATCCCAGGGCTGGGGAGGCTGAGACAGGAGGATCACAAGTTCAAAGCCAGCCTCAGCAGTGGTGAGGCACTAAGCAACTCAGTGAGACCCTGTCTCTAAATAAAGTACAAAATAGGGCTGGGGATGTGGCCCAGTGGTCGAGTGCCCCAAGTTCAATCCCTAGTACGCCCCCCGCCCTGAAAAAAAAAGAACATGAAGAACGTGGACATGGCTCAGTGGACATTTCCTGAAAGCCTGCTGTGTGTGGCCTGGACATATAGATGAGGAGCAGCGGAGGGAAGGCAGACGGGCGGCAGCGGGGCTGGGAGTGGGACAGGCCAGACCTCACAGCTGTGAGTCGCGGTGTGTGGCTCTCCTTCCACAGGCAAGGTCACTGGAGAGTCCAGGGCCCGCCCGACCAAGAGAAGAAACAAGGTGAACGCAGGCCACCTGACCCCATGGTCCCCACCGCACAAGTGAGCTGTGCCTGGCAAGCCACCATGTTCCAGAGTCCAGGGACCAGGGACAGGTCGGGGCCCCAGTCGGCTCACAGACCCAAGTCAGATGGGCGAACAGGCCTCCTGAAGGGGCAACACCAACACCCAGGCCTGGAAAGGAGGGGGACACTGCCCAGGGCCAGCCAGGCAGAAAGCGAGCTGGGCAGGTGTGCGGGCAGGTGGAAGGGCAAGCTGGTGCCGCTCTGTCAGGAAGGGCACAGTGGGCAGGGGTGGGACACGAGATGCAGAGGGTGGGCAGGCAGCGGCGGCCAGACGGCCCCGGACTGGACCTTTAACTGGGAATGGGCACTGGTAAAGGTCAGCTGTGTAGTCTAACTCAGACCTCGGGGCTGGAGTAGCCCCGTCCAGACTTCCCTCCACGGCACCGCCGCTTACGTGAGCAGGACTTTCCTGTGAGGACGGCGTGGGGGACAGTGTGGCCACACCAATGCTGCCCTAAGCAGCAGGATGCAGAGAGTGACCTCCAGGTCATCATGAGACACCCTCCAGCAGCACTTTCTGCGTCACCCTTGGTCCCAGAGCTGAAGTGCCACCTGCCTCCAGGACAGGCTGCCTCTAGGAGAGGCTGCCTCCAGTGTCCCCACAGCTCAGGGGGGCTGCTCGGATCTGCAGCGGAGTCGGGCCAACATCTGGCCTGGGGAGAGGGCCCTGCCGTGGCTGCCGCTGCACCCACACGTGGGTCTGCCTCTGCAGAGGGTGTGCAGCTGGGGAGGAGATGCCTGGGAGCCAGCTGTGCTCCCACTGCTATGCTCCCACTGCTGTGCTCCCACCAGCTCTGGTCCAACCAATGTGCTCCCACTTCTGTGCTCCCACCAGCTCTGGTCCCACCAGCTCTGCTCCCACCGGCTCTGCTCCCACTGGCTCTGCTCCCATTGCTGTGCTCCCACCAGCTCTGGTCCCACCAGCTCTGCTCCCACCAGCTCTGCTCCCACAGACTCTGCTCCCACCAGCTCTGCTCCCACAGACTCTGCTCCCACGGGCTCTGCTCCCATTGCTGTGCTCCCACCGGCTCTGCTCCCCGCGCTCTGGCTCAGCCCCCAGAGCTGTGGCGCTTCCTTCGTGAGCGGGAAGAAGCACCCCATGCCCACCTCCAGGCCAGGCCCGCTCCTAGGAGTGGTTGGCTCAGAGCCTGAGAGGCAGATGGCAGTGGGCAGGGCCTGCTCTCGCCTGTTCCCCTTGCCCCCAGCCCTCTCCTATGACCCTTGGGGACAGTGGGCCCTCTGAGCCCTGAGGTGACTCAAGCAGCTGTGCATCCTCTTTCCCCTGCCAAGTGCCCAGCTGAGCCACTGACCTGCATGACGCTATCCAGGCAACAGGAATGTGAAGGAGTTGGCTAGGGAGGGACGGGGACACTTCCAGGAAGATTCCTTCACTTCTCGGAAGACACGGGCCAAGATTCCTGCTTTTCTCCACCTCTTTACAGAGTGGGGACCTCAGAACCCGGGGGTGTCAGCTGGCTGTGGGGGACCAGGCTGCTGCAGGCTAACTGTCCTGGCTCCTTGGACCAACCCTGCTCCAGCAGTCATGAAAATAACTGCAGCCGACAGACGGTCCTCTGCCGGGCTGTCCTGCGGGCCTCCACTCCGCCGTGTCACGACTTCACGGCAAGCCTGTAGCACACGGCTCTAGGTCACTGCTTGACGAGGTCCAGCCACTGGCAGCGCCCAACACGACAGTGCCCCTCCCTCCCGAGTGGCCTCGAGGCAGGAAGGCCCTCGGGTCCTTCCCCTGAGGAGCCACAGGCCCTGGGGCCACCTTGCTTCTAGTCCCGATTTGCAGAGGGGGTATAGGCCTTGGAGCAGGAATCCACGGCCCTGTCAAGGGGAGGGCACTGAAAGCTGGTCTGTGTGCCCTGAGCCGGCAGCAGACTGGAGGCTCCAATGTAAACTGAAGCTCCTGTCAGCTCAAAGGAAAACGGAACAAAAGAAGTCCCTGGCCCTGCGGGTCAACACAGGCCCCGGGGGAGGGCTGTCCCCTGCGGCTCTCCGTCCTTCTCAGACACCTGCCTGCACACAGCCCTTCAGCCCCCAAAGAGGTTGTCCTGAGTAACGGAGGACCTGTGAGGAGCCCAGCTCCAGGGGGGCCTGCCCCCGCCACGGCCACAGCACTGTCCCGCCAGCCGTCCCCACTCCCAGCTGCAGCAGCACTCGGCTGCCCCCACCAAGGAGCCCTAACAGCGCAGCGACCTTCGTCCTGAGCCAGCGCTCCTGTCCTCGTTAGCTGCCGGCTTCAGAACGGGTGTCGTGGCCCACGGTGTGGGCGGAAGGCCACCCAGCGGCCCAGCCACCCAGGCCCGGATCAAGGTGACCACACGTGACCCCGGCAGCAGTGACTTGCTCACCGGGAGCCCTGCTGGCGGCTTCCACTCGCGGGTTTGGTGACTGTCGCTGCATTCTTTCCACCGTCTGCCTCTGCTCTGTGGGCTGTCTGTCCACCCAGCCTGACGGATTTCCTCCCCCTCCCCGGCCCCTCCTGCCCTTCCTTCCCAGTGTCCTCAGATTGAGTGACCACTGAGCAGCCTGGTGGACTCCACTCACTGGGGTTCTCAGCGGGTGGGCTGGGGGCGTGGCTGGCAATGTCTGGGGGTTGTGCGCCGTTACACCTGGAGGTGCTGCAGGAAAGCACCGTCTCCCTCCCTGAAAACAAGGCAATTCCGAGGGACACAGCCCTCAGAAGGGTGACCCGTGAAACCTCAGAGTCTCAAAGGCACAACCATGCACAGCATAGAGCACCACACAGCCAGGGAGCACCTCACACCCAGGGAGCAGCACACAGCCAGGGAGCACCTCACACCCAGGGAGCACCTCATACCCAGGGAGCACCTCACTTACAGGGAGCACCTCACACCCAGGGAGCACCTCACTTACAAGGAGCACCACACAGCCAGGGAGCACCTAACACCCAGGGAGCAGCACACAGCCAGGGAGCACCTAACACCCAGGGAGCAGCACACACCCAGGGAGCATCACACAGCCAGGGAGCAGCACACAGCCAGGGAGCACCTCACACCCAGGTAGTAGCACACAGCCAGGGAGCACCTCACACCCAGGGAGCAGCACACAGCCAGGGAGCACCTCACACCCAGGGAGCATCACACAGCCAGGGAGCACCTCACACCCAGGGAGCACCTCACACCCAGGGAGCACCTCACACCCAGGGAGCAGCACACACCCAGGGAGCACCACACAGCCAGAGAGCACCTCACACCCAGGGAGCAGCACACACCCAGGGAGCACCTCACACCCAGGGAGCATCACACAGCCAGGGACCACCTCATACCCAGGGAGCACCTCACTTACAGGGAGCACCACACACCCAGGGAGCATCACACACCCAGGGAACACCTCACACCCAGGGAGCAGCACACACCCAGGGAGCACCTCACACCCAGGGAACACCACACAGCCAGGGAGCACCTCACACCCAGGGACCACCTTACACCCAGGGAGCACCACACACCCAGGGAGCACCTCACACCAGGGAGCACCACACAGCCAGGGACCACCTTACACCCAGGGAGCACCACACACCCAGGGAACACCTCACACCCAGGCAGCACCACACAGCTAGGGAGCACCTCACTTACAGGGAGCACCTCACTTACAGGGAGCACCACACACCCAGGGAGCACTCACACCCAGGGACCACCTTACACCCAGGGAGCACCACACATCCAGGGAGCACCTCACACCCAGGGAGCACCACACAGCCAGGGAGCACCTCATACCCAGGGAGCACCACACACCCAGGGAACACCTCACACCCAGGGAGCACCACACAGCTAGGGAACACCTCACACCCAGGGAACACCACACACCCAGGGAGCACCTCACACCCAGGGAGCACCACAACCCCAAAGAAGCTGCAGACCACGGAAGATGACAAAACAGGCCACAAAACCATGTGTGCAGAGCCTATTTCAAAATCGACTGCACCACCCAAAACTGCTGGAGGCAAACACAGCAGCAGGGACTGTCCCTGGCGGATCAGGTCCCTGGCACTGCTCCTTTTGCTCTCTGTCTCATCGCTGGGAAAACCAGACACGTGGAGAAGCTGGCGGGCTCCTTGGCCGGACGTCCTCTCCATCCTTGCCCTGTGCGGAGGGCCCACAGGAGTCTGCCAGGGGAGGCCTGTGCTCCTGACGGACTGTCCACCCCCACACCACCGAACACCCGAGGGTCCAGAGAGCCTGGGCACCCAGTGAGGACACCGGGTCTGCCGGCCACTGACCACGTGGCAGGAACCTCGACCCACCCTCCTTCTCCACGTGGGAGTGAAGGGCCAGTGAATCCTGGCCAGGGGCTGAGACCTGCAGCAGGACAGTGCAGGACAGCGGGGTCTGCAGCACCTGTGGGGCCCAGAGGAGCCAGCAGGGACGGTCCCCGCTGAACCAAGCACATTCAGCCGCTCCCGGTGCCGCTGTCTGCACTGCCCAGGCTGTCCTGTCCCCTGCTGCCCCTCCGTCCTGCACTGTGAAGGAGTGAGGGACCCCATGTGGCGCCACAGTCAAGCTGGGGCCATTGCCAAAGTGAGAGCCCACGGGCCACGTCGGGAGGAACGGCCCAGCCTGCTGCACCTGTCCTTCCTCGGCTCCGCGCTTCACGGGGAAAAGGAGGGTCAGCGGTTTCCAGGCCGGTCTCTGTTTTGTGCTTTTAAGCAACGGAGCTTACAAAAAACTGCAGTCACGCGTCCCTTAAAACAGGGCACCATGCTGAGAACCTGTCACTGGGCAATTTCGTCACCGTGTAAACATGGCGGAGAACACTGCACGGAACAGACGCGCACTGCTGCCGCCCTGGACGACGAGGACCCGGGTGTCACACGGGGCCCACTGTCCACTCGAACCCAGGCAAGGGAAGCAGGGCTCCGGGCCAGGAGCCAAGAGCCGCGGAGATGGCTGGACCCCGCCCCGAGCCAGGCCTGGGAGTCAGTCGGGGACCAGGACCTGCCTCTCCGGGCCCTGCACTCCCTGAGGCCGGCTTACCGGTCGATGGCGATGACCCCGAGGGTGAGCATGCTGGCCGAGCTGATGAGCAGGTACAGCAGGGCGGAGAAGTTGCACCACACGACCCCGAAGATCCATTCCCTGCGGACGGAGCTGGTCACCACGAAGGGCAGCACCAGCACCGACAGCAGGAAGTTGGACAGCGTCAGGCTGAAGACGAACTTGTTGCTGAGGGTGAGGAGGTAGGACTTCTTGTACAGGGTGACCACCACCACCAGGTTGCCCAGGCAGACGAACACGGCGATGACCACGATGGCCACGAACTCGGGGACACCGCTGCCCCCGGGCCCGCTCTCCTCCGCGGGGAGGTCGCTCAGCTCCTTCCTGTGGCCGAGGGAGGAGTTGAGGCTCATGGTCAGTGCGCCTCAGCCTGGGGTGGGCACAGCATGCTGGACGGCTGCAGAAACAAGACAGGACCGGGCACAGGAGGGGCCTCGTCACACATCACCTGCCTGCAGCTGGCAAGAAAGGCAGCAGAGGCTCGGCCGGGAAGTCCCCAGGCAGCCCCCAGCCGGCCTCCCCGTGTGCTCCCTCCCCCGTGTGGGGCTCGCTCACTCTGGCCTGAGGACTTCTTCAGCCCCAAGTGTGGGTCTGCAGAGCCTAAAGGCCCCCGTGCTAAAGGCTCAGCCTCCACTTGGTGCTACTGGGAGGAGTGCAGCCTTCCGGAGGCAGGACTCATGGGAGGCTTAGGGCCTTGGGCGTGCCCTGGAGGGGACCACAGAACCCCCGTCTCTTACTCTTTCATCTCTGCTCCACCACAGTAGGCTGCCTTGCTGTGGGCCCAAAAGTAACGCGGCCACCTCCAGAACTGAGACCAAGGTGAGCTTACCCTCCGCCCTTTTCCCTTTTTTCATACTGGGCATCTGACCCAGGGGCCTTACCACTGACCCACACTCCCAGCCCTGCTTCGTATTTTATTTAGGGACAGGGTCTAACTTAATTGCTCAGTGCCTCACTTTTTGCTGAGGCTGACTTTGAACTCGCCATCCTCCTATCTCAGCCTCCCAAGCTGCTGGGATGACTAATGTGCACCACTGGGCCCCGTTCCCCATTCCTTTTAATTTTTTATTTTGAGACAGGGTCTTGCTGAGGGTCTTGCTAAGTGACTGAGGCTGGCCTCAAACTTGCAATCATCCTGTTTCAGCCTCCCAACTTACTGGGAGCCTGTCATCATGAACGGCAGCACCAACATGGACAGCAAGAAGCTGGACAGAGCATGCACAACTGTGCTGGCTTTTTTGATTTTTGGCAGTGCTGGGGGTCATACCCAGGGACTCAATGTGTACTAGGTAAGTGCTCTACCCCTGAACTACATGCTCAGTCCCAAACCTTTTTTCCTTAGAAGTTGATTATCTCAGGTATTTCATTATAGTAACAGAAAGATGACTCAAAACCGGCCTATCCATTTTCCCAAAGCCAGTTATTCAAAACCTTTAATGTGATTAAGAATCACCTGATGTACCAATTCAAAAAGCCAGTTTTTAGGTGCTACCACTACAGATTCCTGTGCTGGAGATCAGGTACAGCTGGAATCTGCACTTTAAGCAAGCCAGTGGGCGCAGTGACCCCATTACAAGTGTCCATGGGGGACACTGCAGAGTGCTGCTTTAGGCTCTGCTTCTCGGGGGGGATACTGAACTGAAGAGGTGGCACCACCTTGGAGCTACCAGAGGTGCAGAAGCTCAGAGCCACTCTGACCCACAGAATCAAAGTCTGCACTTGGGCCCCGTCCTCAGCTGATGCCTGCACCTGTGGGACCAGATCACGGCAGGAGCAGTTCTGGCTTCCCCAAGCAGGGGTCACGGACAGTCCATGGGGGACGCTGCACCGCTCTCAGCAGCCGTGGGAGGGAGGACGAGGACCGGGCACTGACCGCAGGTGAGTCAGCAGAGGCGCATCTGAGGTCTTGCCCATAGACTGCAAGGCGCAGACTCCGCTCAGGAAACGGGCTCCGGATCCCGGCTGCCACTCAAGCCTCACACAGCTCCATGTCAGATCCCACAGACTCAAGTTCCCCCAAAACTTTTCATCTACCTCAGTCAGCCGAAAAGCCCTTTCCCCACCTGCTCTCGTTCTCCACGGACAGAGGACACCAGGAAGAAGCAAAGACAGTGTCCTGCAAGTACATGACAGAACCCGGGGCCCAAACCGCCTCCACTCAACCGCAGGACAACCCCCTTCCTGGAGGGCCTGTGGCTCTGTCCCAGGACCCATGGCCACAGAAAGAAGCAGGGGAAGAAGCAGGCCTGCCCCTGGCAGGGGTCACAACACCTGCTGGACAGCTGCCCTGCAGAGGGCCCATCTGCCCACGCTGCTCCAGGCTGCACCAAGCAGTGGCCTCCCTGCTCAGAAGGACCGACCAGTCCCGGGGCATGTCTGCCCCCCACCCTCTACTCATCCGTGGCCCCTGGTGTGTGTCCCCAGCCGGCACAGATGGTTAGTCCTTCATCCCTGATGTAAGGTGCAAACGCTTCTCTGGTCTGGGCAGGGTAGCCCAGAGGGGCCACCTTCTCCATGATCGGGACAGTCTCCTTCCGAGTCTCCCTAGGAAAGCATTTCTTGTACTTTAGGTAAGTGTGTGGTCTACAAAGACCCACGTTAATACATCCACGGATTTCTGGGAAGGCAGATGTCCCCCATCTTGAACATATGGAATTAATGTTTCTAAGCCTAAGTACAAAACATTATTTCTACTAAATTTTATTTTGTACACTCAGCTCCTGATTCCAGGCTGTTAAAACCCTCTGCATGTTGATTTCGGTTTCCCAACTTCTTCGTCGTTACTCTGGCTTTGCACCACGAATAGACTCCATAAGGGCACTGCCCACCCGTGTCTTTGGAAGTTGTTCCTGTAATTGGCAAGCTCTGGATTTTGTGGGCTCTTATAACTAAATTATTAATTGGTGCTCAAAATAAAGCTTCCACATGAGCCTGTTCCTCCAGACTTGCCTTGCACAGGGGGAACAGCGCCATCAGAGAAAGAGACAAAGGAAAAACTGTCAGAAAACATTTGCAACTCACACCACAGATAAAGGACCAATCACTCTAATTTGTAAAGAATCCCTTCAAAATCCAAGAGTATAGGGCTGGGGTTGGGGCTCAGTGGTGGACGGGTCAAGAGCGCAGTCGGCACGGGCTCTGCAGCCAGCCCACGGCTGTGCATCCACGTCCCCCCTCAGTGCGTCCATCCCAGAGTAGGGGCTTCGGCCCAGCCTGACCTGGGCTAGGTCGGGGCTTCTCACCACCAGCCCCCCCCCTGCCCCCCACGGGCTGGCTGCAGCTGCGTCCCCCTCCATTCTGCTTTCACCTCTGCGGGCCGGCCCTGTGGACTGTCCCCTACTTGTGGATGGATTAACAAGCCTTTAGCAAGTCTGACACATTTCAGTGAGACACAGTCTCTCCTGGGCACCTAGGGGCCTCCCGGGAGGGGCTCAGGCCAGGTTTCCACTGCAGGCTCTGGGAAGCCCCTGCTCCGACCCGGGATCCCAGCCAATCCCAGAGGCGAAAGGCCACTCCCATGGCCCTGGCACAGCTGCCCGAGTGGCTGGGACGACCCTAAGGCCAAGAGGCTGCTCGGCAGGCCCTGCTCACAGGAGGGCCTGGGGCGCCTGCTTCCCGCGTCCAGTGTGACCACAACCCACCCACTCTTCACTTCTTCCCCCCGCCTCGCCCATGGCTCCCGCCCTCCAGGAGCTCAGACCCGAAAGCCCAGGTCCTGATGCCTCGCGTTCTCCCACACCCACCCTGGGCCAGCATCCTGCCCAGAACCTGACCACGTCTGACCACATCTCAGCCGCCACGCGCCAGTCCAGGCTCCGGGTTGTGAGGACAGCTGCCACCGGTCCTCCTGCTGAGCCCTCCCCACTCTGCACAGGTAGCAGAGTGAGCCTGAGGCAGCCAGCGTGGGGACAGGAGCACTGCCCTCCAGAGGTCTTACCTAGACCCGCAGCGCCGACAGGGTGGGGCCAGGTCCCCAGGACTCCAAGCACAGAACGACACCCCCTCTCACTCCTGCTCCACGCGCACTGGTCTCTGTTTCTCCAGGCGTCACGCAGGCCTCACCCAGGGCCTTTGCGCTTGCTGACCTGTGCCCAGAATGCCCTCACCCCACAGGACTTTGCGGGTCGTTCTCACGCCTAGGTGGCCAAAGCCCTCCCAGGGCACGCTGCGCCACTCGTCACCTGGCCTCCCGCACAACACGGCTCTGGCCCCTCAGTAGGTTCTCTGGACAGCACGTGCGTGTGCTCCGCTGTTTATCAGGTTGACCTCTCTCTCTCAACACTGCAGAATCCGTGAGGACGAAGGCGGCCTGGTCTGTGGACACTCTGGTCAGATCTAGGACAGCGGCTCCGCCCAGTGGCGTTCACTGCATGATGGACAGACGCACAAGGGAACCACAGGAGACCCCTGGACATGGCAGGGTGTCCCGCAGCAGCAGGGCAGGCGCCAGTACTTACGTCGGTGCCCCTTCTCCTCTCCCCACCAACAGAACTGACCGGCGTGGAGGGCCACGGCACCTCGGGAAGGCTTGCAGAGGCTGGTGGCCATCAGGCCCAGCCCACAGGTGTGGAGAGCTGTGGCTTTGGCCCTGTTCCTTCCCGTTCTCCAGGGGAGCTCACACCCACGTGTGACGGTGAGCAGCCTCGCAGTGGAAGTGCCCCACAGTGCAGACAGAACCCCACAGCAGCCCGAGCCCGGATGAGCTGCAGAGCCACTGGCCGGCCACGCCAGCCACCCCTACCAGGGTGAGTCCTGCAGCAGTTTCCTTTACACACTCAGACATACCCCGAGTTCACACACCGTGGGCGTGAGGAGAGCCACGCAGGCGGGGGTGACTGCTGTGTGGCCGGGAAGCGCTGGTGCTGGGGCCTCGCGCCCCATCCGCCGTCCCCATCCACCCTGCCCTGCTCTCCAGCCCCGGCACCGACCCCCAGCCCTGCCCTGGTCAGCCTTTCCCAGCAGAACCCTAAACGGAATCAGAGATCCTGATGTCGGAAGGAGAGGGCCTCTGGGAACAACCCCTTAGAAATGAAGCGAGCCCCAGCCAATGCTCTGCAAGGGCTCGTCCTGGAGGGTGGAGCTCTCTGAATTGGTGGGTTTCACCACTTAAAATGCCAACTCTCTGTACCAAAGTTTTAAGCAAAATTCATGCCAATCTGTCATAGATTCATCTATATTTTAAAGCAAAGTCCACAAAATGGTAATTTGCATAATGATTCAAGGTCATTAAGTTCCAAGGTGCATGGAATTTTGGTTCAGCAAAGACCTTCGCTGTGCAGCTCTTTCTTTGAAACCTGGGAGGAGGCTGCAGGAGATCTGCAGCAGCGACCCCTCAGACTGACACCGGCAGTGCCCTCTGGCTAGCACCGACTGTGCCCTGCACGGTGCCCAGCTCCT